AATGTACATTTAGGGTTTGGGGTTCATGGATGAGTGATGATAAGTCTTTCCAAATCAAGTCTCTTATTAGAAACCATAATTATTCAATGAATTTCAAATTCGGATCAATTGTCACGTATAGATGGATAGGTACCCACTTTACCCAGCATTTTTTTAACAATCAAAAGATGAGTGTGAGATTACTTAGAGAGGAGGTGAAAACCACTTTTGGCATTGTTGTGAGTATGAGTTAGTGTAGGAGAGCCAAGAAGTATGCATTGAGTCTAGCTGAAGGCATGGTTGCCGAAAATTATGTTAGAATATGGTCTTACGGTGAGAAGATTAAAAGATCAAATCCTGGATCCACTGTTAAAATTTCTATAGATACAATGCCTGATGGTAAGAATTACTTCAGCAAGATTTACATATGCTTTGTTCTAGTCAAAGAGGGGTGGAAGGGAGGGTGTAGAAGGATCATTAGCTTGGATGGTTGTTTCCTGAAAAGTTTTTGCCAAGGTGAGTTGCTTTGTGCTGTTGGTAGGGATGCTAACAATGGAATATTCCCAATTGCTTGGGCAGTTGTATGTGTGGAAAACAAGGAGAACTGGAAATGGTTCATTGAAAATCTTTTAGAAGATTTGTAGTGTTGGAATGAAGGAAGTGGTTTGGTTTTAATTTCTGATCAACATAAGGTATGTTTGTAAAATATAAAAAAATAGTATAATAAATATTTACATTTCTAACATCACCTATAACTGGTACATATGCAGGGTTTGGTTGAGGAAGTCAAAGAAGTATTCCCAGCAGCAGAACATAGGCAGTGTGCTAAGCATATATATATATATATATATATATATATATATATATATATATATATATATATATGCTAATTTTAGAAAGAAGTTTAGTGGAGCCAAGTTTGAAATTTTGTTTTGGAGAGCAAACAAGGCAACAACTGAAGCACATTTTAACATAGTCATGAAGGAGATTGAAAAGTTGAATCCTGAAGCCGTTAAGCGTCTTATGGATAGAGATCCAAAGACTTGGTCTCTAGCTTTTTTTAGAGTTCACAATTCATCTTGTGAATATGTGGAGAATGGATTTTTAGAGAGCTTTAATAGTGTCATTTTGGATGCTAGGAAGAAACTTATTATCAACATGTTAGAGGACATTCATATATATGTGATGTGAAGGATGGTGACTATGAAACTAACAGGTCAAGAATGAAATCGTTATTCTGTTTGTCCAAACATCAGAAACAAGATTGAATATTCTCCAAAATGAGAAAAGGTATGCACACTTATTTATTCATACATATATTACCTCTCTCAACTCTAAACATTTGCATTGCATTATGTAGGCATTGGCAGGTTGTGTCTTGTGGGCGTATGAAGTTTGAAACAAGGAAAATGGATGAGCCGTACATTGTTGATGTCACAAAAAAGGAATGCAGTTGCAGGTTATGGCAACTAAATGGATCTGGTTGTGTTCATTCAGTAGCTACAATAGCGTATTTAAACATAACACCTGATGGACCATATGTAGACCCATTGTACCTAGGATCCTTATTCCATTATACCTACAAACAATCCATTTGTGGCATGAATGGGATAAACATGTGGCCTTCTACAAAATTTATATCTCCATTGCCTCCTTTAAAAAGAAGAATGTCAGGCAGGCCAACAATGAAATGAAAAATGGATGCTTCTGAAAGGTCTGGAAAACACACGATTTCAAAGGCAGGGAAAAAGGTTTCTTGTGGCATATGCAAACATAAAGGGCACAACAAGAACAATTTCACTCAAGTGCCAAGACCTCCTAAAACTAATGTCACAAAGAAACAAAAGATCATCCAAACATAAGAGTCAGTCAATATGCAAGGGGGTGGAGAAGATGATGTTATGGGTGATGCAGTTCAGCCACAAACTGTTGACGTTATGAGGGTAAACAAATCTGAGCAAGTGGTGACAGTTAATGAAGCTGAGTAATTGGGCAGGGTTAGTGAAGTTGTTGGCCATGTGTATACTATAAGTCAACCAAGCAAGAGGAAAAAGTCAGAGAGAATTCTTAAACTAAAGCATGCTAAAATAGTTGAAAGTGAAGGTAGTAGTTTGGATCACCAATGGAGTAAGTGTAACATCCGGATTCCCAGGTATCTTAAATTATGTATTTTATTGAGTTTTGGAGAGAGACTCGGCGAGTAGGCGCTCAGACTCGCCGAGTAGAGTCGCGAATCTCCATTTGGGTTAATGACCGGACTCGGCGAGTCCACGCCGTTTAATGAAACCCTAATTTCTCGGGTTTGGGGACTATTTAAAGGCCCTTATGGCCGCCATTTGAGGTCACTAGTCATAGAGAGAAACCCTAGAGTGCTTGAGCGTTTTGGGAGAGGAAGGAAGCCATTTTTGACCTTGGGAGTGTTGTTTAGCAAGAAGAAGGAGGTACTAGCCAAGAGGAAGCATAGGAGACTGCTATTCTGTGGATTTGGAGCTAAGATCTTCACATTTGAGGTAGTAATTCGACTCCCCTTCTGTTCTTATGATGATCATATGGATTTAGGGTTTCTTAGACCCTTTGTTGCTTAGATTTGAAGCCCAAATAGTCCCTTATGATGAGGAGGCTTTGGTTCTGGATCCATAGAGGTCCAGAGAGCCTTATTCATTAAGCTTTTTGAATAACAATGGAGGTTATGACCTTGAGTTATGGTATTTGGGGCTAAATCATCATATATGATCAAATAGATGTTGTATGTGCATCAAGATGGAAACTTTACATGGTTATTGGGTTTGGGAATGATAGATCTATTGGTTAGAGGACTGGATCTGACCTCAGGAAGTTGTTTGAGGATGTGCATGGAATGAACTCGCCGAGTCCATGAACGGACTCGACGACTAGAGTCGGGTAGCCCCGCGACTCGCGATCTATGACGACTCGTGGAGCATAGGGTTGACTCAGTGAGTTGGAGGGAATTAGAGGACTGGAGTTCAAGGCGGAACTCGCCGAGTCCATGAACAGACTCGGCGAGTTGAGTCGGGGTGGCCCCGCGATTCATGCCAGGTGTCACCCGTCGAGTAAGGGGAAAGACTCGACGTGTCATGCGAGATCAGAAAGATAGTGGGCACGTGTAGACTCGCCGAGTCGCCCAAGTGCACTCGGCGAGTCGGGTCAAAGTTTGACCGTTGACTTTTATTGACTTTTAGGGTTTGGTCAACTTTAGGGTCTTTGAGCCATGAGAGGGGTAAAATGGTCTTTTACCCTTCTGAGAGTACTAAGAGGAGGAATAGTCTAGCCTTGAGAGATGTATTAATTCAGAGTGTTTATTTCATATGATTAGGCGGAGGCTAGACCCGACTTTACAGAGTTCGAGCTTTACCGAGTTACCCGAGGTGAGTCTTCTCACTATACTTTACCTAGAGTGGTAATTAGAGCTATGAGACAGAGTATTGTGTATACTTTTGCATGATGTGATTTCTATGTGTTATATGCTATGTATGTTACAGAGTTTTTAGAGTTAGGTCCACAGAGTTAGGGTCAGAGGACCCATAGAGTTAGGGCTAGAGGGCCCACAGAGTTATGGGACTGGGGGGGGGTCCCACAGAGACACTTTGACCAGAGTGTCAAACAGAGTTATAGCCTCGAGTGGCTAATATGTGTTATGTGTGGTATTTTGGGGAACTCACTAGGCATTTATGCTTACAGTGTTGTGTTATGTGTCTCAGGTACCAGCGAGGATCGCGGGAAGGCGCCGGCTTGATCAGTACACACGCGGGGAGATTTTATTATGATCTTGGGATATGATGTTATGTGATACAATGGTGTTTTTATAACGATTATGAATGAAAACGTGTTTTATAAAATGTGAAAAATTGTTTTGAAAATTTGGGTGTTACAGTAAGATTAATTACAGTTTTAATTGTGTGTATGTTACGTGGATTGGACAAGGTAATTTATGTTTGTTATGTTCATGTATGTTGTAATAATCGTAACATTTGATATTTGGATTCGTGTATGTATTTATAATATGTATGATCTTATTTATATTAGTGTGTACAGGGTACTTTAGTCATTACAAATATTTCAATAGGTCATGTTAATGTTAGTTCAGGGGTACTATAGTCATTCGAATGAATTAATCCAATAGGTGTATGTTATTTCAAGTAATTATTAAAGTAGGGGTATTTTAGTCAATCAAAGAAGTTAAATTACTTACACTCCCGTTAGGTGTCTTAGTGTCATTTTAAATAGTTAAAGAAATAGGGGTATTTTTGTCATTATTTGTTATTTGAGTAAACTCATCAAGGGTATTACAGTTAGTATTTTTTATGTGACTTAACCCATTAGGGGTATTTCAGTCATTACTTTTTTATTTGACTTAATCCATTAGGGGCATTTCATTTCTTCCAGACAATTATCGAAAGTGGGCAACCAGAAAGACAACAAAAAAGAACTTTGCCATTGTTTTCCATTTTTGGGTTACAGGCAACGACAAATCTGGGTATTAGATTCTTCTCTTTTGTCCTATGTCCCACACACAAACATTGGGGTTCATCTTTTAAAGGTTTAAAAAGTTTGACTTTGTCATGTGGTCCCAGGAAGAAAATCAACATAAAATATTGGTATTACTTCACGACACATGCACATTTAGATTTATAACAAGAACATTTTAACTTAACCAATATTTCATTCATGGTTACATCTTTACATCTATTAAACAAGATAAACAGGATTTGTACCACCATCTTACTACATACGACACCCATCACCTGTGATTAACATCAAAAAAATGATCATCACAACAACATGATCACAAAACCACCAAGCACGACCACCAAATACTACGACCATAAACCAAAAGATAACGAACAAAATGCCTTACTAATAAGGAGAATAAAGCAGATGCACATCAAAACAAAATAGAAACCCACGATAGAAATGGTGTAACCTAAAGTTCTTCTGTCATTTTAAGAACTTATAGGTTAACACCCCCACAATAGCAACGACAAAAACTCCAAGAACCCATTTCACTTTGTTGCACTTGAACACAAATGCATCTTTAAATCCGCAACCATGTTAGATAGATCGAGTTGACCTGCCCTAATATCATCGACTTCATGATTTAGGGCGTCCAAGTCTCTAGTGATGTTGCGTCGTAGTTCACGAAGGTCGTTTGCAATCTCTTCCCTCACAAGCGACACCTCCAACTGTGTTTGTAGCAAATTGAACGCCATGTCTTCATTGGTGACTCCATTGGACACATTTTCAGCCATGTGTCGACTATAGTTGGGTAACCAATTGTGATTTGGAGATGATCGTGAAGGCATCATTTTTGTGATTGGTATTGATGTTTAGGGTGCAGTTAGGGTAACCAGGTTTCGAATTGTGCCATTTTAGGGCACAACCTTCACATTTTATACGGAGGCGGGGCGAACAGTGTGAACGTGGCCTCTACGTTTCACATTCAAAAACGAAATCGTTTGGGTCCAAGACGTAAGTACAATTTCATCATGTCATCGATGATGTGTCAAATTGGGATGGTATGGCATGGTTACCGGGTATATTAAGTAAAAGGGACTAAAGTGCTAGGTTGCAACACACTTCGTTCCCTCATAAAGCCACTTACAAAGTTAAGTGACTAAAAAGGTAAACCCTAGAAAGTTCATAGGTCGTATGTGTCATTTTCCCAAACTTAACCAACAGAAATCCCACGGAATGATATATCAATATCAACGATCTTACAAGGAAAGTCTAACTCAAATAGATCCAACTGATAGCAACACAATCTTAACATTAAAATACACATACTAATGGTAAAACAAACTAAAATCCTTTAAGTTCTTTTACATCTTCTCATTCCCCTTCGAACTTGAAGCTATGGCACCTCCTAAGACACTTGATAATGGTGCTAAGATGGTATGTTCACGGTTTCCTATATATACACAATACCATATGCATGTCAAAAAGCATCAGTATGAAACTGATTACACATACAAAATAATGTACTATTTCATTACACTTTAAAAAAAACATTTTTTATATATTGTGATAAATGTACTATATCATACCGCTTTTCTAAAATGCATATTTGACTTGATATGTAATTTAATTAATGTTCGGATTAATGATTGAATACTTAAAGTAATTTTTAACATAACAATGTTGAGAAATATACGTATCAAGTTAATTTCACAATTATCTTTTCATGATCACTTCAAAGTAAATAAATAAAATCCATTTTATATTTTAAAGTCGTTGAGGGTTTTGAAACCACATCCACAACAAATTATTGTCTCGAAACATTCGTACCAAATTGTAATGTTATTCAAAGAATTATGATACCTTCATTTCTCCACCTGTTGCCAAGTGGTCTTATCCATTTGTATTTCTTCTGAACCGATCACTATATCTTGTATGTAGAAAGTTTCCAATGAACATCCCAACAGCCAGCCCACTTCCAAATCCAGAGGATATGATAGTCCAATCAATTCTTTTACTTGAGGGGAGAGACTCAGATTGTGGAAGTCTTGACGCCTTTGAATCTTGACATTCCTTGGATAAAGGTATTCCACACAATCCAGGATTCCCCTCATAGGAGGAATTCTCGAATGTATTAAATTGTTGCCCTTGGGGTATGCGCCCCTCAAGATGGTTGAATGACACATTGAAAATGGATAGGAAGCTGAGTTTTACCAACTGTTGAGGAATTTCTCCAGATAGTTCATTTCTGGAGAGATCTAAAGATTCAAGATTCTTTAGGTACCCCAGCGATGGAAAGACATGTCCAGTAAAATGATTGTTGGAAAGATTAAGTGATTCAAGCCCTCGAAGATCTTGGAGTGATTGTGGGATTTCTCCTTTAAAATGGTTACAAGATAGATCAATAGCCGTGAATATGGTTAAAATTTGTTCGTATTCTGTTCTTATACCATTGTGTATCAGCGTCATGGGGTATGATGATTTTGTATTGAATGTTCCAGAGGCTGAGGGTATCTCCGATTCCATAACAAATGATTCCCCAACATAAATGGATTTCATGGCATTCCATGTTTGGAAGTACTTTTGGTGCAACTGACCGTTAAAATTGTTGTTAGAGAGATCTATTATCCGCAACTTTGGGAATTGTGTGGAAACGTTTGTTGAACCTTGAATTGGACCATAAAATTTGTTGGAACGCAAAATGAGAACTTGCAGCTTGGCAAGAGTTCCCAGCCAATAAGGGAAGACATCATCAAAAGAGTTATCACCAAGAGAGAGGACCTCTAAATTAGTACACCTTTTTAATGATTTGGGCAGCTGACCCACAAATCCATTTTCACTCAAATCAATACTTTCCAACCGGCATTGATGCATGAACGCATGCATGATTATGCCATGAAAACTATTTCGTCTCAGATTCAAAACCATTAATGAATTGCGTAAGCTACTGAAACATGAAGGAAGAATTCCACTCATGTTGTTAGAAGACAAATCTAACACTTGAAGAGATTTTAGTTCACATATGAATGGTGGTATTTCTCTTGTCAAATTGTTATTTGAGATGTCATAAACAACTGTGGTCTGTGGTGGAATTGGTAGCTGTCGTACCTGATTATTCCCGATGAAAAACGCTTCTAAATGTTTCCATGGTAGGAAATTAGGATGCTGATCCAATCCGGTGATGAAGTTGTATGAAAGGTCAATAACTTGTAATGTTTCTTGGCTGTTGTTCCAGATCCACACCGGTACCAGGCCATACATTTTGTTGTCGCCAAGAAGCAAGTGAGTCATTTTATCTTGGAACTGCAGAAAGGCAGGAAATTTCTTCAAGTTGCATGATGTCAGGTCTAAGTGTTCCAATTCTGGTAAGGTATTATTGGTGTAATTATCGGTGGTTACTAACAATATCCTGTTATAACCTAACGCGAAAACTTGAAGTTTCTTGAGTTCTAGAAGCATGTCTAAGTCTACTCTTCCATTGAGATCGTTTGACTGTAGGCGAAGATCTTGAAGACTTTTGAAGTTGGAAAATGAGCTTGAAACTGTCCCTTGCAATTGATTTTCTTCAAGGCTCAACTTTCTTAGTTGGGTGAGGTTGAAATATGAGGATGGTATATGACCGGTAAGCAAATTATTTCCCATTAGGACAACACAAAGTTTGGTTAGGTTTGCAAGAAAGGGTGGGATTTCACCATTTATGTTCATATCATGTGCATACAGTTCATTAAGTTTAGTCAGCTTGCCAAGCCAATTCGGAAAGCGTTCCTTCTCAAATCTGTTGCCACTAAGCTCCAAAACATTGAGTTTCAAAAGACTTACCAATGGAGGAACAAAGCCTGTGAACTTATTGTTGGCAAGACCCAAGCCAGTGAGTTGTGTCAGGTTAGAGAGTGAACTCGGAATTTGTCCTGAGAAACCGCATCCTGAAAGGCGCAAAACTCCCAAATGGTTTAGGTTGCTTATGGATTCAGGCACAATCCCAAAAAAACTTGTGTAACCTAGATCCACATGTTCAAGTAAGCTATTGTTACGAAATTCGGGAAGGGAACCAGTGAGGTTAGTATTGTATGCCACACTCAGAAATTTCAATTTTGGTAGCTCAAGTATGGCTGGAAATTCATTCCGAAGCGAACAATTATGTAGCCGGATTGACCTCAAAGAAGAAAAGTTGGCCAAGAAATGAGGTACAGAAGAACTAATGTCAACCTCTGAGAGATCGAGTTTTTCGAGTAGGGTTAAGTTTTGCACTAGGTTATGGAGGCTAGGACTGTGAAGCTTTAGTGGATTCATTGACAGATCTAAAGAATACAATTGGATCAATTGTGAAATTTCAATTGGGATTTGGCCTCTAAACCCAGAATAAGAGAGATTAAGGCTTCTTAATTGCTTTAGATGAGCAATCTCAGATGGGATTTGAGATCCACGAAAGTTGTTCATGGCAAGGTTGAGGCTCTGAAGATGAAGAAGGCTGAAGAGGGTGCTGCTAGAGTTGATATGCCCACAAAGAAAGTTTTCACTCAAGTCAACGCTGATCACATGACTGTACGTATCATCGTTGCTGCACTCCACCCCATACCACGAACAACAATCAAAACTAGTATCTGATGCATTGCCTGTAGGCTTCCAAGTGTGAAACGTTTGAAACCAACTAGTAGTGCAAATCGCATCATCTTGATGAATTATGCTTTGCTTAAACTGAACCAAGGCTGAGCATTCCTCATCATTGTTTATTGATGATCCAGCGCATGTGACTGTGAGCAATACATATACAAGTGAAATTGTTTGAAATAAGGGGAAGAGCTTCAAGAATGGAGCCATGAAAAAAGGGTTTAATGATTTTAATTGTTTGTGGAAGTGATTATATAGACCATGTATCTGTTTAACATTCAACAAATAAGTGGATTATTTCAAGGGGGGGGGGGGGGGGGGGGGGGGGGGGGGATAAAAGTAGATAAATAATCAACTCATAGAGACAAAGATAATATATTGACCAGATATAAGGAGAACGGACTTTTAGTTTGTTTGGAAAATAAAAATTAAAAAACACATTAAATGACTTGTTTTAGTATTATTTTTTTCTAACATTTTAACAATTAGGAATTTTAAAGAACAAATGGTTATTGCTGTAATATTTTTAGATAATTTAGTATATAGTGCTTTGACCTTTAGCTGGTCTTGTATTTTGTTTGTCATAATCATCATGTAATGGCAGGATTGAAAAATCTGAAAGAAAATATATATGTGAAAAGTGAGAAAAATAGAGGGTGAAGGTTGCCCTCTTTTCACATGTGTTTGTCTCAATGTAGTGTTGTGAAATTAAATTCTTTATGTTTAAAGGAAATATTGTATAAAACAATGCTTTTTATGTACCGATTAAATCGTTTGAATGATAGTAAATAATATTACTCTGTTTTGATAAGTGCTTAATAAAAACTTCATTGTCTGTTTGAAAATTGTCCTAGTATAAATTTTGATTGACGTACCTTAAAGTTTGATATAGAATTATGAAATAGATAATGTTATAGATTCTTAAACATTTGATATAAATTAGAAATAAAAAATGTTTGATACAAATGAGGGAAAGTGATAGGAAAGCCCTTATATTTTTTACTATTTCTACACTCATGGAAACACGTTTTCCACTAAAATCATCTGAGACTAATTATGAGTTGTTAAATGCATGAATGAAAGTTTCCACAAAGTTATTACTAATTAAACTATGGAAAACTTCAAAGTCTTTTCTTTTGTCCTACTATATCAGTGCAAGCAACTAGAAAGGTGGTACACAAACGTCTTTTATGGTTCAATTTTTTTTCTTGAGTAAATTACAACTTTCTTCCCTTATGCCAAAAGTTATGTTTCTCCTCCAGATGTTTGTGTTTTCGCACAAATAGTCCCTAAATCTTAGTTTTGTTTCATCTTTCGTTCCTGGCTTGGACTGTGAGTGTAAACCTACTTGGATGTGAACCTGCTATGAGTAGCTGTACCACCCTCTTTAGTTGACAAATGAATCCCTCCTTTGTTGACAATAAGAACTCAAATGGCAACTTCGTATGTTCACATAATGAACACAATAAATGGTAGCAGTAGTAATTGTAGGCTTGTTTAAGTATAAATAGAGGCTCTAACCTCAGTTGTAAGACACCACAAAACAGAGAGTGTATTGTGTAATACTTAGAGTGAGTATTAGAGGGTTGTTTCTTTTTCTTGTAATATTGAGCGTGTAAGCTCTTCTCTTTTGTTCTAGTTCTGAATAAAAGTGTGTTTCAACCGCAACAAGTGGTATCAGAGCTTGGTTAAGCTCCGGGGGAAGCATTCTCTGTTTTTTGGTCGAAATTTTTTGTCTCAAAAACAATTTCGGAGTACACCGTTGGAAAGGTCTCGTTCTGAGGATTCCGAAAATATATTTTTTTTGAATTTTTTGACCACCGGAAGGCCTCCAAATCACCGGTCAAAGTTGGTCAAATCTGCCGGAAAAGTCGCCGGAAAAACCAGGGTTCGCCGGAGAAGACGGTACTGTAGCAGCACTGTAGCAGTGACGTCAGCAGCTGACCAAAGTTCTGGAAATTACAGTTTAGCCCCTGTTCTTCCGGAAAGTGCAATTTAGCCCCTGTTTTTCAGAAAAATTGCAATTTTGGTCCCGTTTTTCAGAAAAATTTCAATTTAGCCCCTGTTTTACTTCTGTAAAAGTTCTGTTTGCCCCCTGAACTTCTGAAAAGTTCATATTGGTCCCCGTACTTCAAAAAAAAAAATATTCTTACTCGTGTATGCCCAAGTATATGCCAAGAATGACTACACCAACCTCGTCATCTTCTCAAGCCGGAGTTGAAAGTTTTCAAAGGACCGGGAAAAAGTACGGTAGCGTTACGTTACACTATCCAATGCTCACGAAGATGAACTACGCGGTGTGGGCCATAAAAATGCGAGTGAATTTACAAGCACAAGGAGTATGGGATGTAATTAAAAATGCAGAAACGGACGAACGTAAAGATCGGATGGCTCTTGCGGCTATTTATCAAGCAATTCCAGAGGACGTACTTCTGATGTTAGCTGAGAAGGACACAGCTAAAGAAGCATGGGAAACGCTCAAGATGATGCACATGGGAGCCGATCGGGTCAAGGAGGCTAAAGCTCAAACCTTGAGAAGTGACTTCGAGGTGATCCGGATGAAAGACAGTGAATCGGTAGATGATTTTTCCATGAGATTGAATACTATCGTAACCGGTATTCGATCTCTGGTGAAAAGATTGAAGAAATTACGGTTGTGAAGAAGTTTTTGCGAGCCGTACCGATACGATTTATACAAATCGTAACATCGATCGAGCAATTCGGAGATTTGAAGAATATGACGGTGGAAGAAGTTGTGGGTCGTCTTAAGACCCATGAAGAGAGACTTCGAAGCTATGGAGAAAAAGAAGAAGGACCTTCTCTATTGCTTACACATGCCGAGTGGGCATCTCGTTCGAAGCAAACTGGCGAGAGAAACTCGTCAAACACTTCAAGAGGACGAGGAGGACATGGTAACCGAGGCCGGGGACGAGGCCGAGGTCGTGGACGTGGCCAAGGAGGTGGTCGCGAGTACAATACAAATCGGAATGACCATAATCCTTCTCGAAAGGATAAAAGTAAAATCAAATGCTTTACTTGTGAACAATTTGGTCATTATGCTTCGGAGTGTCCAAACAAGAATCGAGGTGAGGAGGCAAACCTCACTCAAGCCAACGAAGAAGAGCCTATTTTAATGATGGCAACCTCACAAGAATATGCACACAAAAAAGTGTCTCTAAGAGAGAAGATTTGTGTTAATCTTCTTGCATCGGGGAGAAAGTCGAGTCGAGTCTGAGGTATGGTATCTCGACAACGGTGCTAGCAATCACATGACTGGAGACCGCTCAAAGTTTCGGAACTAGATGAGCACGTTACGGGCCATGTGAAATTTGGGGATGGTTCGACCGTCGCTATTTTGGGAAAAGGGTCGATTTTATTCGATAGCAAAAATGGCGACCAAAGACTCCTTAATGAGGTATATTTCATTCCAAGTCTAAAAAAAATATTATTAGTCTTGGACAAATGACAGAGGAAGGGAGTCGGGTCATAATGGATGGGTCGGATCTGACATTGTTTGACAGAAACAAAACTCTACTTTTGAGAGTTAAACGATCCCCAAACCGGTTATATAAAACTCCTTTAAGGACCGGTAGACCGACTTGTCTTTTAGCAACAAAAGACGAACCAGCTTGGATATGGCATTCTAGACTCGGTCATGTTAACTTTCTCGCCTTAAAGAAGTTGTCCGAAAAGAATATGGCAATCGGAGTCCCAAAGATTGAGCACCCAAACCAAGTATGTGAAGGGTGCGTTCTTTCCAAACAAACCCGAATTCCTTTCCCGGATCATGCAGTTTTTCGAGCTCAAAAACCTCTACAACTTGTTCATGCGGACTTATGTGGTCCGATCACACCTACGTCTGTTGGAGGGAGTAAATATTTTCTCCTTTTAGTAGACGATTTTAGCCGGTGGATGTGGGTTTACATGCTATCGGAGAAGTCTCAAGCCTTGAGCGCTTTCAAACGGTTCAAGTTGATGGTTGAAAAGAATTCGGGTTATCAAATAAAGACACTTCGAACGGACCGAGGGGGAGAGTTCACTTCAAAAGAATTCTCATTATTTTGTGAAGAAAATGGTATTCAAAGGCATCTTACGACACCATATTCGCCTCAACAGAACGGAGTTGTAGAAAGGCGAAATCGGACCGTTATGGACATGGCAAGAAGTCTGCTCAAAGGTAGAAATGTTCCGGGAGAGTTTTGGGGGAGAAGCGGTTAGACATGCAGTTTATCTTCTCAACCGCCTGCCAACAAAAGTACTTCCCGACAAGACGCCTTATGAAACATGGTTTGGCAAAAAGCCCAACCTTGAACATCTAAAAGTTTTTGGTTGTGTTGCTTTTGCTAAACTTGTAGGTGGTCACTTGAAGAAGCTTGATGATCGAAGTAAGAAGATGGTGTATTTAGGTGTGGAAGATGGAACTAAAGGCAACCGTTTGTTTGATCCGCAAGACCGAAAGTTGCGAGTTAGTCACGATGTTGTTTTTGACAAAAAAGAAGAATGGAATTGGTACAAAAACAAAGAAGAAGAGATGGCGACTCCTAAGACCTTTACCATAATTGAACCACAACCCCAAATACACCTCGAAACACCTCAAAATGACCCCAAAATCAATCCGGAACAACCAAACAGCCCAGGAATCGATGCTATCCAAGTTGGACAACCATATGCTGAATTTGACGAGCCTGAACCAGCTCCACATACTCCTGTCTCAGCCCCGTTTTCTTCAACCTCGCCCCATATGGAAAGCCCTTCTAGTGAGATTGGGCCAAGGGGATTGCGTCCGTTAACCGATATTTATTCTGAAACCGAAAATGTGTTCCTTGAACCCGGAGAATTGTTGATGATTGCAGCGGATCAACCCTTGAATTTTAAAGAGGCGGTAACCTCTAAGGCATGGCAGGAGGCTATGCAAACAGAGTTGGATGCAATCGAGAAGAACAAGACATGGCAACTTACCGATTTGCCATCCGGACACAAAGCAATCGGTTTGAAATGGGTGTTTAAAGTGAAGAAAGACAACTTGGGAAAAGTGGTGAAGCATAAAGCTCGACTTGTAGCAAAAGGATTTGTACAAAAGGAAGGAGTCGACTTTGATGAAGTTTTTGCACCGGTAGCACGACTTGACACCGTAAGGCTCATTCTTGCCTTAGCAGCTCAACATGGGTGGGTTGTCCACCATCTCGATGTCAAATCGGCTTTTCTCAATGGAGATCTCAAAGAGGAGGTTTATGTCACCCAACCAGAAGGATATGTTGATAAAGCAAACAGTCACAAGGTGTTCAAGCTTTATAAAGCTCTTTATGGTCTACGACAAGCTCCTCGAGCTTGGAACATTCGTTTGGATAAAAGCTTAAAAAGGCTTGGTTTTACAAAAAGTTCACAAGACCCAGCTGTTTACAAAAGGAACTCAAAAGACAAAATTCTTATTGTTGGTGTCTATGTTGATGACTTGATCATTACCGGGTCGAACACTAATGATGTTGTCGAATTCAAAGAACAAATGAAGAAAGAATTCGAAATGAGTGACTTGGGATTACTTTCTTACTACCTTGGAATCGAAGTTTCGCAAAAGAAGTGGGGAATATCTTTGCGACAAACGGCTTATGCAAAGAAGATTTTAGAGCAATTTGGGTTGCTGGATTGCAATCCGACAACGTCACCAATGGAACCTAAGTTGAAGGTTAAGAAGGATGAAGATGGTGAAAAAGTTGATCCAACTGAATATAGGCGAGTGGTAGGTTGTTTGAGGTACTTGACTCACACTCGACCAGACCTGTCATTTTCGGTTGGAATTGCAAGTCGTTTCATGGAGGAACCAACCACTTTGCATTTCCAAGTTGTGAAACACATCTTGCGATACGTAAAAGGAACTGTTGATTATGGAATCAACTATGGAAGAGGTCGTGAAATTGAAGATTTGGTTGGTTTTACCGATAGTGATCTTGGAGGTGACCCTGTTGATAGCAAGAGCACAAGTGGAATGATTTTCTATCTGGGAAGGAATGCGATAACTTGGCAATCCCAAAAGCAAAAGACTGTTGCTTTGTCCACGTGTGAAGCCGAGTTCATGGCAGCTACAACAGCAGCATGTCAAGCCATTTGGCTTGCTAATCTCGTGAAGGAGCTCACGGGACATCATATTATGCCTATCACCTTATATGTCGATAACAAGTCAGCAATCGCATTGATGAAAAATCCTGTGTTTCATGGTCGAAGCAAACACATTGACATTCGTTATCACTTCATACGAGAATGTGTTGAACGTGGGCAAATTATAGTGGAATATGTCAACTCGAAGGATCAACGGGCGGACATCTTTACAAAGGCTTTAGCATACGTGAAACATGGTGAAATGTGAAACATGATCGGAGTGACGAATCTCGAGCCAAGTTAGGTTTAAGGGGGAGAATGTGAGTGTAAACCTACTTGGGTGTGAACCTGCCATGAGTAGCTGTACCACCCTCTTTAGTTGACAAAATGAATCCCTCCTTTGTTGACAATAAGAACTCAAATGGCAACTTCATATGTTCACATAATGAACACAATAAATGGTAGCAGTAGTAATTGTAGGCTTGTTTAAGTATAAATAGAGGCTCTAACCTCAGTTGTAAGACACCACAAAACAGAGAGTGTACTGTGTAATACTTAGAGTGAGTATTAGAGGGTTGTTTCTTTTTCTTGTAATATTGAGCGTGTAAGCTCTTCTCTTTTGTTCTAGTTCTGAATAAAAAAAAAGCAATGGTCAAGTAAAGCATGGAAGACTTCAGAGTCTTTCTTTTATCCTATTAATTGTAGCAATAGACAACCAACAAGGTGGAGGACATATCACAATGGTAACGTTCATTTTCTTCTTTAGTGGTTATTATTTTTTCTATGGAAGACTTATTGTCTTTGTTTTTAGAAGAAAAACAAATCAACGTCCTTAATGGTTGATTAAATTTTCTCATCTAGGTCATTATTCATTTGTATCAGTTATATATTAGAAGTGTAACTTTAATATAATGACCTTTTTGCCATTATTTATTTTTAACTTTTTTCAAAATTATTTTTTGATTTACATTGTATTTAAATCTAGTAAGACCCACCCCACCACTCCCCAACTCTTTGATCGACAGCAGCAACTTTTTTTTTTTTTAATTTATGTTGTAATTAAAGGTAGTAGGATGCACCCCACCCCTACCATGAAGGAGAATTTCCGACCACGAGACGGTCTTTGTTGATGAATTTTCGATGGATTTGAGGACGTGTTTTAGCTCGTCGGTATTTTTTTACCGATGTATGCGTCTATCGCAAAGTTACCTATGAAATAGTGATGGGCTATCGACTAAAGCGCATTTGACCTTGTTTGAAAAATTTACCGACAGATTTCGGATGGCGTTTTAGTGACAGATATATCTGTCGGTAATCCGTCACTAAATGCTTTTTTTAAGTAGTAAAAAATAATATAAATTTTAGTTTTCTCTGTCCAAAAGACTGAAAAAAAAAACCACATTTACGTTAAACCTATAATAATATTGAAATTCAACCACAAAACCAATAAAATTACAATAAAACTAATAAACATCGTCTAAAACATTAAAAAGGTATCAAATATATCATAAAGTGTTTAAAAGCATAAAACTAAGAATTATATGGTGGATTACCGGACAGCTCATAAATTTCATAAGGGCCGCTATTTGTTGATGGAGTTGAGCTTGATATTCACTTTGGCTTTGTTCTAATTGCAACTCACTTTCAACCAAAAAACTAATGGACATTTCTAATAATACATTAAAAGTGTCTAATAATACAACACTAAAAGTGCCAAATACAAATGTTTAACTAAGTGCTTAAAAACATAAAACCAAGAACTATTTGGTGGATTACTTGGTGAGTTATTGGTAAGTTGAATCGATAAAACCCGGTAACTGTCTTGAATTTGAGTTTAGACTCAAAGGCCGCCAATTGTCCATATTTCAACACATCGTAATCAATGATCACAAAATACAAATATAGCAATATACTTTCAATTATTTTTTTATCGTAGCATCACTACAACAAAATGAAGGTAATGCAACCCCGCTAAAAGGATGCGTTAGGCCTTGAAAAAGTTGCATAATGCCCAAAACAACCTTTTACCCAAGGTTGCATTAGGTAAAGTTGTATTAGATCTAAAGCAATTTTTTTCTTCAAAAATGCAACCCTTTTTGAGATAGTTGCAAATCTTTTTTAAATTCAAAATTTTTATTGCAGCGTGTGTTATGCAAAAGCAATTTTTTTAATGCTCATATGCAACTTTTTTACACTTAGATGCAACTTTTTTTAACTATTTTTAGTTATGAAAATGCAACTTTTTTTTAACTATTTTTAGTTATGAAAATGCAACTTTTTTTATAATCAATTGCAACATTTATTATGTTTCTAGTAAAGAATTGCAACCTTTCTATACGACATATACAACCTTTGTTATGTCTTTAATTGCAAAAAATGCAACCTTGTTTATAGTCAAATGCAACTTTCTTTTTGTGATTTTTCTAATTTCAATGCGACATTTTTTTCCTAATCATATAGACGCTATATATGTTTAGTACATTGCTACAAATATTCATTACTACTAAAATTACACCATAACAATAATAACGTAAATATATTATATAATTTTATGGTCTCCTTTGACATGTCTAAATTCAAAATAACAACCATAAATCAAAGTCAACACAAAGTTGTCAACTATAATCACAAAAAATGTATTAAAAACATTCTAGACGTGTATTAAACATAGACGATAATTCATATTAGCAACTATCGACTTTCGCATCATGGCTTCAAGGTTTTCTTGTTGGTTTTTAATATCTATTCGCAAAGCTTCTAATTCGGTCTGTTTTTTTTTCATGGTCCTCTTGAATCTCTTTCCGCATTTCAATCAACTCATTTCTTTCAACTTCATTTGCTTTGAATGATTCCATAAGTCCCGCTGGAAATCATGTATGATGAATCACCACCACCCACTTTTTTTTATCAATCTATTAGTAACGTCTCTACCATAAAGTCGACGGTATCCATCATTCCCTTTTTTCATCACAATCATATAAGGATCTACGATATCACTTTCATCTTCTAGATGTTCGTACTTCTTCATTTGTTCCTACAAGATTGTTAAAAATGAATAGGATACTTTTACTAAAGCATCTACCATTAAAAAGTTATTTATATTGTAACAAAACTGCATTTTAATGTAGAAAAAAATAGTTTTTTTATTGTGTAAAAGACAGCTATTTGATGTCCAAAAATATGCTATCAAGACTGTTTTTATGTAAAAAAACAGCACTTTAACATCTAAAAAAACTGCATTTTAACATCTAAAAAACAACATTTTAACATATAAAAATTTGCAATTTAACGTAAAAAAACTGCAATTTAACGTAAAAAAAACTCCAATTTAACGTCTAAAAAGGTAGTTTACTATCAAAAGAAAAAAAAATCTATTGTAAAATTGAAATACGAACTTATAATTTTATTTGTCGTGTAATCATATGTATCGGCATATACACGCTCATATGTCCTTTTAAGTGTACGTTCAAACATTTGACTTAGAGTAGGGAATGCCTTGTTTGAATCTTCATTTTTCTATACTCGCGATAACATATATATCAACAAGAAAGAATCAAAGTGTGGGGAAAATAAAAACACAAATCACAAGCAAAAAGAAGACATTAATTACCATCTCGTCACGAATTGTAGCAAAACTTTTTGGACCAGCCGTGTGCATATTTTTTAGAGACTTGCGTATTTCTTTTGCCTGCGAACAACGCTTCTACACATACGTTAATATATAAAACTCAACTGATCAAATACACCGAAAGACAACTCAAATATTAACAAATACTACCAATAAAGAAAATGTTTTTGAAATTACTGTCACATCTTTTTTATTCCATAACACTAATAGTTTTGAGAACTCTTCTTGAGGAATGCATTTAGGTCGATTCTTCCATCTTGTTTTATTGTCCTTAAATTGATAGAAGTGTTTTTTCTTGAACCTACATTTGTATACCTTATACAAATTTCCAACTCTCCTAAGAACCCAAGTTTTAGCATCATCGGGCACATCGTATTTTCCCTTGAAAAAAATTAGTAATTAGTAAAGTGAACGGAAAATAAAAGAAGATGGAAGGATAGAGCTACTTAAAAACTTACCAAGACATACTCCTATATCTTATCTTTATGTGAAACTTTGTGCCATAAAGTACATGTCAATGGTGTGGGTACGAGCTATTGTACCCAAAAATCGAGAGAATTTTCCTACTACGTCCTTCCCCTCTGTTATCGGTCCAACGGGTTGTCCATCTTCATTACATATAATAACCTCACGTTGATTAACTTTCCGTGTGTGAACAGCATGTAACATTGTTGGTCCTCTTTTCTTGGGTGCAGAAATTACTACATTCCAACATAGAATTATATATATATATATATATATATATATATATATATATATATATATATATATATATATATATATATATATATATATATAATTTATGACAAACCAAAAACATGATCAAGTAGTGAAGTTGAACCAATTTCCTTTTCTAATTGGGGCTCTTCTAATTGTTCTTCAAAAAGTACAGCATCCTCATTTCCCAAATCGTCATCGATATCATCAACTACAATCTCATTTTCAATATTTGCATATGTCAAATGGTCCATGTCTTCATAGTCATCATTTTGATCAACATTATTTTCTAATTAATTAGTAAATATAACACCAATAATAAATAGAAATTGTTGAGAGAAAAACTTGAGAAACACACTTGAAAAAACGTTAGAACAAGTTTATATTGTGGAAATTAAAGTTTAACTCAAAGGATTATAAAGCTCAACAATAATAAAAGTTATAGTTTGTAACATCCCGAAATTCAGGTACATCTCTTATACTCTTCTTCTTTTCCAAGTTGTCAAGTTTGGCCCTTAAAGGAAACATTAAGGCAAATGAGTACGCTGGGCGTACTGAAGAGTACGCTGCGCGTACTCATGCGCTTAAGTTGGACGCGGACTCGCCTAGGTACGCTGGGCGTAACCGGCCCAGATGCAAATCCTAAATTGTGGCTTGTGCACTATAAAAGGAATGTTAAGGCCTTATCCTCAGCCACCATTTCAGAGAGTGAAACCCTAATAGAGAGATACCCTTCGTTCCTAGCTTGTGTGTGTGTGTTCTAAGCTTCAAAGTGCCATTTCAAGGTGGTGAAAGAGAAGAGGAGGCCATTTTAGGAGCTAGAAGTTGGTGGACAAGAGTAGATCTGAGTTCTTCAGAGGCTGGAGCTTCTTTCTGAGGTAAAAAGCTCAAAGCTTTCCTTGGCATTTGTGATTTGTGCTTCTTGGACCAACTTTTAGGGTTTTTGGTCCCAAGGTGGAGACTTTATGAGCAAATGGTCTCCATAAGCCTAGATCTGCCATATTTCAGAGTAAAATGAGTTGTAGGTTCATAAAAATCCAATCTTGGACGTGAATATTGAGCCATGCATGAGATCTAGACTTTATAAGAAAGAAGGAAAGGTGTTAAAGTGATTAGGGACCTTTACAGCGATGCAAAGGCTTAAAGGTCTCGACTTTATGGATTAAGTGGTCTTAGAGAAGTCAGATGTGGAGTTTGAGTTTATGTCTTAACCGATTAAGACCAAAATCCATGAATGCATGAAACTAATACTTACGCTGGGGGTAAATCTCAGTACGCGCAGCGTAAGGGTCTGAGACCCCGATTCTGGATCGCCGGAGTACGCCCAGCATACAAGAGCTGGTACGCGCCGCGTACTGTCCCTGTTGACTTTCGTTGACTTTTAGGGTTTTGGTCAACATTTGGTCTTTTGGGTCAGGGAGGGGTAAAATGGTCTTTTACCCTTCTGTGGGATTGTAGGAAGGGATGTAATCTAGTCTTTGAGAGCCTTTATTTATTCGAGAGTACTGTTTATATGCTTAGGCGGGGACTAGATCAGCGTTTTCGTGTGCGAGATTATCCGAGATACCCGAGGTGAGTCTTCTCACTATACATTACCTAGAGTGGTATTTATATGTAGACCAGATGGTCTTGTATGTTATGTGTATATATGAGATTATGTGCATTGTGTTATATGTATGCTATGTGTTGAACAGACCGGGCCAGAGGGCCCAACGATATAGACCGGACCGAAGGGTCCAACGACACAGACTGGACCGAAGGGTCCGACGAGCTATGACCGGACCAGAAGGTCCAACGAGCTACGGGACTGGAGGGCCCCGCTGAGACACATCGACCGTGTTGTGTGTTATGTGTTTCAGGTACCAGTGAGGATCGCGGGAAGGCGCCGGCATGATCAGTACACACTCATAGACATTATGTTGAGATTCTGGGAATTGTTTTGTGATGATGACATTGGATACATTATGTTTTGATATTGTTTTAGGATTAAAAGTATGATTTAAAAATGAAAAATTGTTTTGGAAATTTACTTTGTTACATAGTTAGATGGTTAGATAATTAGGTGCGGAAATATAAGGAAATATAAATGACAGCAAGTATTATATCAAGTATACACTTAAGTTGATTATTAACAAGGAATACAATCAGACCAAGTTATTAAGTGAGATCAAACTTAGTGATTAAGTCAAGGCTGTCTTGCTCCGAAGGAGAGATGTAGATCTGTTATATTTCATATTACTTTTTTAGAGATTAGAGAGTGAGAAGTAGATGAGAGAGTAAGTTATGAATATCAAGAGATATGAGATTTAAGATGCGTAGATAGATAGATGTGTATTTTTCAGAATGAGAGAACTCCTTTCTATAGAGTCTCAAAGATTACAAAGAGTCTTGTCTGTTTAAAGTTGCTATGCAAGGCACATTGGATAAAAGAAAGTACAATAAGAGAAACAGATAAAAGACTAAGACTAAAAGTTGATGACGACGACTGCGGTTGCTAAACTTGACTGCGGATGAGAGAATGGTTGCGGATAAGGAAGTTACTGCGGTTTGGATAAAGTTTAAGAGGGTCACTTCTATGTTTCAACAATTTCCCCCTAAGTGACCTCTTCAACTTCCTTTCATTTGTCAAGCTTTAGGAACTTGGTGAGAATCCACTAGAACTTTCTTACTTCTCCAATCCAGGTGATCCTTCTTGAAATCTCAAACTTTACATCAGCAGTTGTGTGTTTTGACTTATGAACTGCGGTTTGATTTAGTTCAAGTTGCTTTCGAGTGAGACGATGCATGGCAGTCATAGGAATGAAATATTTAATTTCATCATTTTTGCGTTTAAAAATGACTCCATGATCTGGGAAGTTTGTTGCTCCAAGAGATCTTTCTTGAAAACCTTCAGTCAGCATTGGGGCAGGATCAAGAGGTGGAAGGTTAAACTTCTGAGCAAGTGCGGTATGAATGTCTGCGTCAATTCTTGCAAAATCATAAACAGTTTCTCTCAGAAACGTGCTAGCCCTTTCAAGTGCCATTTTCATATTGGGATTCTTCTCTGACTTGTTCTGAAACACCCTTGCTATCAGAAAGATTTCCTCCGGGTTCATACAGGGAAAATCAGCTTGGGTTCGGACATAGTCCTAATTTCTTCTGGTCAGAGTGTACTGGATGAAGTCTGCTTTCATGAATTTTCGAGACTTGAAGTTCTTGACTGCAGTGGGCCTATCATTCGACCAAATTTTCTCAATTGAAGACCCATGCTTGGCATGAAAACTGTTGAGTCTTTCAAACTCTAAGGGCAACCTCTTATCGTCTGGGAGACTGCGGTCAAAGGGTTCAAATAATGTGCAGTATTTTGTATTGGGAGAGATGGGAATGTCCCAATAACCATCATGAGGGGGTTCTGCGTATGTGAGGTAGGGCTTGTAATCGTCATCAAGTAATCTTCTGTGTGGATTGACCCAGGAGTTGATGAGGGATTCCTCCATTGTGATGTCAAGGCCATTTTCCCTCCAGATCAACTCGGCAAATTTAGCTGATCTCTAGTCAGCTTTCATCTGTTTGGTTGCGGGAGAGTCGACGGAGTGTTCGGATGACATATGAGAAGCTAAGTTTTTGAAATGAGGGGGAGTCACTGGTCGCTCAGGAGAAGGATGAGATTCTCAAAGTGTTTGATGTTGCGGTGGTGGCTGATGATTTGGACTCTTTTGAGGAGAGGGAACAGGTGTTTTCTTTTGTGGAGATAGCTGCGGTGAAGGTTGAGGAGTAGGAACTTTTTCTTGAATGATGGGATGTTGATGACCAAGATTTGTTTGGATGGGAGAGTTTAGATGTTGGTGCGGATGAGAATGGTGATGAGAGATTTGATCTGAGTTTCGGTCTTCACTTCCCCCTCTTGAGGAAGGAGCAGTTGGTACTTCTTCAAGCCATTGCTTAAGACCATCAATTTTTCCACAAACTTCGTCGAATTGAGCCTTTAGTGCATCAGCAAGCTGTTGGTTGTTTGGGATTGCGGTGTTAAAAAGCAATATGTGAATCTCCTTGGTGAGGCGCAAGATTTATGGACCATGAAAGTTGGATGTCAAAGATCGTCGTAGGCTGTTGATAGTGGACTGCAGGACTGAAATGGTGGACTCATATGCATTATTAGTTTCATCCACAAGCTTCTTCGATTGAGTGGATTGATCCGCAATTATCGCTTGAAGTTCTGACTTGATTGCGGACACCTCAGAAATGAGTTGCTCAACAGTTGTCAAAAATTGTTGATGATCAGCTTTGCGGTTGGTATCCAGGGCTTGAATACCCATTTCAACTTTAAGAGAGATTCTTTCCGCATCAAGTCGTTCTCTGGCTTCAAGTCGCTCTATCCGGTCTATGAGGGACTGCGATCCAAGCATATCTTCTTCTTGCGGTTGGTCCGATTTCACTGCGGCTAAGATCTGATTAACTTTGTCTTGCAAACTCAGAAATTCTTTTCTAGAAACGGGTAACTTCCTTTTCTTTTTCTTCTCCTTGGGCTTAGAGGTTGAGTGCTGAGAACCACTTGATTCTTCTTTTCATCAAATATCATGAGATCATCAGAGGGATCAGGTTGGTTTACCTCATTGATGTTGATGTCGTCAAAACCGAAGGTTGACGCGGAATTGACTTCAATCTTTGTTCCATCATTTTGTGATTCTCTAGCAGTTTGAGTTGGAGGGGGCTGAGATGGACCTGTACCACCAGGAATGGATTGAGAATTGTGGATTGTCTCAGCCATTGCGGACATCCAATCCTGTACTTTGAGGATAGTGGCGACGGTGTTTGCATTGTTGATTGCATCAGCCCAATATTTGGCTACCGTTTGAATTTCCTGCTGCTTGGTTTGTTGATCTTTCCTTGCTTGAAATACCCTACGGAAAGCGGCATACTTCTTGACTTCAGATTCTGCGGTTGGTTTGTAATGCCTCTAGGAATCATTAGATTCATCACCGTCAAATCCTTGAAAACGCACCGAGGTGTCCCTCGAGTTCACGGATCCTTGCACATTTGTGCTCACCGTGCCTAAACCACCTGTGTTAGATGTAAGCAGAGTAGGATTTCCGGAGCTTCCTCGGTCTCCTTGACCCGTGGTCAAGTTTGGCCTCGGCTCCGTTCTGGCATGGGATGAAGAATTGCCCTGCAGTGGGGAAGGTGTATCGAGTGTTTGGATTACAAAGTCTAGAATGGAGTGCAACTCCTGTTCTTCAAAGAAATGAAGTTTAAAAGCCCTGGATACCTTAGGGCG